TATATATATATTGTGTACATCCTGAATTTATTCAAAGGTTGCAATCACTGTTCCTTGAAGTAATTTTATATAGATGTTTTATTTATGTATTTATCTACATATATTGTTACTTTCGAAGTAGTCGACACCAATGCAAAAATATTGTTTGTGATATTGTTCATTGACCTCTTCATGAAAGGATAATACGGTGCCTGGTAAGAGAGCTATCAGAGCCTCCAGTTTTTCCTTGTGGAGATAAAAGCCACCAAAGGGCGCTTCAAATAGACATGACTTGAAACATAATAAATAAGAAATATCAAGCATTATTAATCGGCTTATGATTATTGAAAATTTGGTCCTTTTAGCCTTATGGCTAGAGCGGTGAAGTGGATAAAGGGGCTATATCAAACCGTGGATCCAGAGACACCATTTTCCATACCAATAGTTGTCTTGATATAAAAATATGAGTGCCAAAGTTGGACAGCCTGGGTCCAGTGGTTCGCCAGTTATTTGGGTAAATACTCAAAATTGTGGTGCTTTTATATGGGGGCTACCAGAAAACGTAGACCTACGTCGATACATTTTTGCATGGCTATTTTGTACACATTAAGAACTCCCTGTGGCAATTTACAGTCTATTCGGTTGTATAATAGATACAAATTACTTTAAACCCTGAAATATGGTGTAAGATGTTGTGTTAGCGATTCAATATAGTATAAATACCCGCAAATGGGTATTTACACCCTTACTCTCGAAGGGAGTAACCAATTTCGTCGAGAAATATTACGATGTAATATTTCTTCCAAACTTAGTTTAAGTTCCCACATAAAGGGTCAACAATTTTAAATATTTATAAATCCGATATTAGGCGAATGGAATGTCCTATTTGATTCAAGGTGTGCACATCGTAACATTTCTTGCAAACACAAATTATGTCCGAAGTGAACCGAGTGCTATCACATACCACAATTTCACTCACAACATGAGCATATTGACTGTCACATTATTTATAATATACTTGATATCACCGATACCTACATACCTACATAAATCGTGTATGTACATGTTTCTATATTCACAGACATATGTATATAAAACAACATGCCAAAGTATATCGCAACGATTTAATACACTATACTATATGCTATTTTGATTTTTTTAGTAAATACGGAGAAAATTTTCAAAATTTTAAATTGTCTTACGTCTACGTACAGATAGATCTGTTGCTACATGCAAAAAAAAAACAAATAACACAAGAGCACAGTGGACATATTTTGTACTCATAAATAAAACGTGTATAAGTATGTTGAACACAATTTCTCCAAAAAAAAAATATATATATATATATATATACTTTTAATATCCTCTTTCATAGTTACATTTTAGGTGATGATGATGTGTTTCTTTTGAAGATTTTTATTGGGTTTGTTTGTATGTAATAAACTCTTCTTTTAAGATTTTGAAACAGACGCCTATGTTGAGGCCTATAAGTTTTTATTTTACATTTCTTTACCGTTTGGTTTATGCCTGATGATGAAGGGTTTAATTTATTCATGTATTGGAATTTGAACAATTATATTCAAGGTGTATTTAATAAGCTGTATGCATCAGATACAACAACAAATATTTACAAAAACAACATTGCTGTTATAGAAATTAAATTGTCATGCTGACAATAAGGTTTTGACAAAAATAAACAAAAACAATTATTAATTTATTTTTGTCAAGAATTATTCTTTGAGGAATAATTAATGAATTTGTGTATTCTTGGATTATTGGCGGTTTTAGGTCAGTGAAAAATAAAGTTTAAGACCTGGTCGCGATTAATTTTAATTTTCCCAGATGTAGCCCATGGATTTCTAGACAGATTTCAATACACAATAAAAAATGTGTGGAGCAATCGGCGAACGGGGTTATAACTGAGCCTAGGTTTCATTTCCGTCCCCTTCTATGAATCTAGTTTTCTTGAATTTTTATTATTAAAAAAGCCTAAATTTAAAGACCATTTTTGAAATCGAAATGTAATATTGAAAATGTTTTTGACAATTTGCTTTACAGATAATAAAGAAAATAGTTTGAAACCATATGAAACCATATTCAATATAATCAAGGTGTATTTAATAAGGTGTAAGTGACAATCATATGGTTTTAAACTTTTTTCTTTATTGTTTGTAAATCAAATTTTTAAAAAATATTTTCAATATTACATTTCGATTTCAAAAATAGTCTTTAAATTTAGGCCTTTTTAAAAATAAAAATTCATGAAAACTACATTAATGAGGAGGACGGAAAGGAAACCTAGGCTTAAATCAGTTATAACCCCGTTCGCCGAATGGTCCACATATTTTATGTTATGTGTGGAAATCTGTCCATAAATTCCTGATACTCATAAAATCGAGGAGATTATGTTAGCCTATATTGGAATCGGCCCCTTGGTGCTTGTCACAATTCTCGGCGAAGGTTAAATACGCCTATGGAAAGATCAATTTTCTTTAAGAAGACAAGAAAATTGAAAGACTCCATAGAAAAATAGATTGTAATTCACAATATAAACAACATCACAAGGATCCATGGGCTGCATGTAGGAAACTTAAAATTAATCGCGACCAGGTCTTAAACTTTATTTTTCATTCATTAATTATTCCTCAAAGAATAGTTCTTGACAAAAATAATTTAATAATTGTTTTTGTTTATTTTTGTCAAAAACATATTGTCAGCATGACAATTTAATTTCTATAACAACAATGTTGTTTTTGTAAAATATTTGTTGCTTTATCTGATGCTTAACCTTATTAAATACACCTTGTATTGATTATATTGAACAATTTCACAATTTATAAAATGGTTTAGTGTGCGCATTTTTTATCAAAATATTTGAATAGAATCAAGGGAACAAACCATTTTCGAAATCAAAAATCCTAACTACCAAAAATATACTGATGTTTATAATATGACATGTGAATTTAGGCAAATCTCGTTACCACTCCGATTTTTTTCACATATCGGCCCACTGTATACGGATTTGTGTTTAAAATTATGTAAGTATGTATGTATTTGGATGTACATTATAGGTCGCGATCACTGTGTCGACTATGTCTATGAGAAATTCTAGAGATGAACAATGTTTATAGAAAATACTTTTGTTTTGACTTGTTTTATTTAATTTAATATATGTCTATAATACACTTGTTCTTGTGCTTGTACACTTGTTCTGTATCCACATACGATGTACTTTTTATTCGTCTATCTATGCAATAGTCAGTCGGTAATATGTCATTTACATAACAAACACATAATTACAAATTTACAAGTTATTTCATTCCAATTTTATTATCCCGTTTCTATGCTTTAACCGGCCTCATAGTTTATGTATAACAGTATGTCAAATACGTCAAGGCAAACTCAAAACATCGTGTTGAACAAACGTTTCGTAGCCCCGCGTCCGTCAATATGCCTGGAATATATTTTAAGATTTAGTCAGTCTACATCGGCCGGCGGGCATTAGCCAAGCGGCATACCATATACTTTCAAATGACAGCACATTGTTTTTTTTTCGCGACCACTCTTTTAATTAAAACAACATTTATTGTTTGGGATTATATCTACATATTTGTTAATACAAATTTAAAATGTTATAATTCTGATGTCTTCATGAAAATTATTCAAATGTACGAGGCGCAATTAAACAGTTAATTTTTGTTTAATAATTAAAATTTTAACATTCAAAAATACTGGCCACATAAGCATCTGGTGTGATACGACAAACATGAATTATTTTTCTATTAACATGAATTAAAAATATTTTGTCAAAAACATGTGACATTACAGTGACATGTTAGTATTTAAAACGAAACTGGCATACAAAAATGTACATAAAATCAAATATCAGGGTACAAACCTATATTTCCCAAAAGTTTTCAGATTATAAAATGGGGATATCGTAACAATAGATCACAAGAAATCGCATCTAAATTCTAGAGTAACTTCGGGTGGACTATGCGTCTAATGTGGGCCACCCCCATATCTAAGATAATGCTTGAGAAATGCCAGTGCCGCCTTGATAAACATCAAACATGGTTTAGAATAAATAATTGCAATGTTGAAAAGGTATTTAAACTCTAATTGTAAAAGTGCGATTTGAACATTTTTTAGCACAATAGTCCAACACGTTGTTTTTCTCAAATATAAAGAAGTTATATGACGTTTAATTTTTATTCAGTTTTTTTAAATGAAAACTCAATATGCGAATTTTGTTTGTGACTTTGTGTCCTTAAACATGATAGAATATATAACGCAATATGTTTTGCAAACTTTTCTAGAAAACCACACCTTTAAAATAAACGACTCATATCCCGAATAAAGAGCGTTGATTGTATGTATTTGTTTCACATGGATGTTTAAAAGCGTCGAAGAGTATCTTCGACTATTGGTAGTGTGTTTCTTTACATATTTATAAGGAGGTGAATTTTTTCTGTGGCAATTAGCAAGAATCTACCTGTTTGTACTAGTTTTTCTATATTATAATAGATACAATTGTCATCGCAGTAAAAAATACATTTAATTTATTTCGAATTCTGTCGTTCGATTGCCGTTACGTCCACTGTGCGCGATTGTGTTGCGTGCATAATTCTTGACATTCCGATCGTTTCGGCATATTCGAATCATACATTTATTTTAACGAATCGTAGTACATCCCAAGATCGGTACTACTCCAAATGTGTCGGTGATATGTGCAACTGATTAAAATATATTGAAGGCCTGTTTCTATAAAATTCAATTCGAACGTCTACGAGTGAACTACGATCAACCCCATGTTTATGTAAAAAAACTTTTGATTGCAAAATCAGTGAAATGTTTTTCAAATATTGGATGTGACTCGAAATTGTTCGTTTCGAATTTACAGAAACATACTGGTAGTAAATCTTACTTGATTATTATTTTATCAACCAGAAATTTGTGCCAGTAAAATTGCATAGCTGTAATATATACTAGTAGATACACATTTAGTTTTACTGAAATATATAATATGCAATATCAAGGAGGATCATGGTACCTACCATGGGGAATACCAATACAGAAAATGATTCCGATGGCATATGGAGGACAACCAGGCTCGGCACCTATGGATCCGTATTTGGCCGCCAACAACAACAATACGCATTTAACCTGTAATGTACTAACGAATCCAAATCAAGGTAATGTGAACACCAATACGGTCAGTCCCATACAAGTTCCGGCCCCCGCTGGGACGGCTAATTATCACCAACACGCAACATTTAATCCCCATACCGTTGGGAAGTTACCATGTACCAGTGCCGTTGATAGTTTGCATGGGAATAATCCAGCGTCAGCAAATGTTCAGCGTCCCGGAACCACATTAGCTTCGACAATTCTGAATGGTCATCCACGAGCCATACTACCAAATGCACAATTACCAAGTACCCATGCACCGCACCAAAATATGTTAATGTCATCGACGATGTTTGCCCCCTTAACACTGCCTCAATACATAACATCGCCCACAGCTGCTGTTGCAGCCGCGACAGCTTTAAACAATTCCATGGCAGGATTGCCAAGCAACCGACAAAGCCTTCCCGATTGTACCCGATTAATTTCGCAACAACAGCAATCGACTCAGAATGCAACATCTACCTCTCCACTAGCATGCATATCATCTTCCGCATCTCCAAACTCTGCAGTTCCAACGTCGGTTAGCCTTAACGTTGACGTTGTCGCAATGCGTCATCACGTAAACAATGTAAATGTGACCAACAATCTTCCAATCTCTCTAACAAAGGTAAGTGTGTTAACCACTCCCCAGACATTCATAATCTTAATCGAACTGTGATTAGGTTAATGGCTGTGGACGGCGACTAATATATCGCAGCCAACCCCAGTATTCGTTCAAATGATAATGTTGAAATGATGTAACTGCAACTACGCATCGTAGATGTTTCGTGCATTTCACATGCAATAAGGACCGTCCTGACACGACAAACACTAAGATACATATTTACATAACATACCGCAAATCTGATTTTGTTTTTAGTAAAAAATTAAAAAAAGAACAATTCAATATTTGGAAAAATAAATTCAATTGTGGCGAAAATTGGGATTAGAATTTTGAAAATAAGTTAATACATTCCGATCACAGTTTATAAACTGACTATAAACATGTTTTCCAACATTATGCCTAGCATATAAAAAGCTAATTTTAAACATGAGAGCTCAAGAAATAAAAGTGTGTGAGAGTAACTGAAATTTCACCACAACTTGAGGGCGGCCCACCACATTTTCGCCTTCAAAAATTGATATGTACAGAATAAATGTTAACATTTGGAACTAAACGGATTATTAGCTTCTGAGTTATGCATGTAACGAATATTAAGTCAGTGTAACCAGTTACCATGATTGAGCAGTTATGGCTTCAAATCTAATATTATTTTCGCATAACTCTTTCTTTGTAGGGAAATTTAGGATTATATTATGTATGTTTATGATTGTCGTAGAACATACATAACCTCTGGTACTTCATTCAATAAACCCAGATAACCCCAGAGGTTTTTTCTTCAAAATTGTATGTTTAATTCAAAATTTTATATTTAATGCTGTATATCTAATTTTAAATCTTAAATGTTTTATTATATGTAAATATAATTATTTACAAATATTCTGAGATAATACTAATATTTTTGTTATTGGCGAGAATGAGTTAACAGGAAAAGTGGAATGGTTTTTGCCAGGAAGCAGAGAACTATGAAATCGATTGTGATGAGTTTAATATTTACAATTTCAACAAACAAATATATTTAAACACATATTCGTTTAAGCTGAATATTTTGTCAAAAAACAAAAAATGATAATAATTAAAAATGTAAAACGATATACATAAATTGAATTCAGATACATATTTCTTTAATGTCGTATATCAAATTGTTGTAAAGGTTGGGCAAAATATTTAACGGGCACCACAACATCCTCTAAATCCCCAAAATCACTAATAGTTTCACCATAAAAGTCTCGTCTGATATTTTTTTCAGTTTTTCACTCATACTTTTTATTTTTTTTTTAATGTTAATTTGTTTAAATCTTATAATTCACGCGCGATTTATTAACAATGTCACTATGGACTTTCGAATGACACGTTCTTATAAAAAATATTCTAAATATTCTAATATTCTAAGAGCATTGGCTTGTTCTCGTACTGCAAGAATTTGATATTACTATTTTTTCCGATATCATAAAGGAAAAATTGTTATCGTGGTAAAAAATTGTACATTCTTGCAGGTTCTGGAACAGACCACATATGTTTGTTTCCTAATCGAAATTTAAATAAAACATATATTTTGTGATTTTACTTTCAGATATTGTCAAACTTTGAGGACTACAATGAAAAGAAGAAACCACAAGTTCCGGAAAAACGAAAAGTCGAAGACAATGAACAATTAAAGGATCTTAAAAAGGTACGTATTGTACCAAAAACATGCTATTCTAATGGGGAAAATAAATAGGAGTTAGACGCTCGATCAAGTTCGAAAGCCAGGGTGGACAACTATATTCTTCCTTCACCTATATCGAATTATATCTGAGTTAAATTTGGTGATCACATGCAGCAATGTTTATACACTATAAATTGATTGTTTTATTATTTATTTATTTTTACTTACTTATTTATAAAAAGAGTTTCTGAGCCGGCAAACCTTGTTTAGTTGTAGATTAGGTTATAGGATGTCCTGTAAACAGTCATTTAGCAGCTGCATTCACTCTGGAGACCCTTGGACCATTACCTTCATCCGTTGGACGTTCTTGGATTTTACTTAATCCCGTGTAGACGTTGTTTTATTTCCCAATACAGTTCGTACTAAATAAAACGCGGGTTCTTTCTGATTACGATTATTACAATGACTTTATTGACACAACTTTACTTTGCACGTTACTTTACAGCTTTACGTTACTTGACTGTTTCAATTCGTGATCTGATTCACAACTGACTACTGCCTTGCCATTTCCTCTATTTATATGGGCCTTGCCTGTCGCTACAGAAGTTTCTAGACGATCTGGTAACATCTGGATTACGAACAATCTACCAATGCAACACACACATACAAACTTACATTGAGTGAAAAATAACAACAACACATTGAAAATTGATGAACTATACACATTGTTGTATTTTAACTTTTAAGTTCCTTATTTAGAAATATACTAAAATAAGCGAAATATTCATCTTTTCACATAAAAATTTACGAAGTCACCCAAAAAAACCAAAGGTATTTTCGTGGTTTAGGGACTTCAACTAAACAGAATTGATTCATTAGAATCCCTGAATAAAAAAATTTGTTTGTTGTTTTGTATCACAGTGTATCTTCATCCGTCCTTGAAATTAGAATATTGGGGGAGGAAAATCGAGGGGGTAGATTTTTGGCAAAGCTATTTATTTTGATAGTATTTATTCCGGAGAAGAATGCTAGAGTATGAATCTTGTATCTTTGAAGCAGTCGGTGCTATTTGCTACGTAGCATTGGGCATCTACATAGTAGATATTTTAATGCTGGAATGACCTGTTAGGATGCTTGTCGTAGTGACAGCACGGAACCTACGAGCAAATCGATTTTAAAGTTCTGCACATAGGCCCTCAAACTATCTGCTGATAGCTTTTATACCCATCACATTCATTCAAAGTATTTCGGTTTCGGTTAATACTGCCCATGCATGGGATCTGGAGCACCTGTTTATAGGCGATAATAAGCTCGTTTACTTTGTTTAAGTCATTTCATATGGCGGTTTCTCATTTATTCTCCGACACCTGTTTAATTTGCGTACCTCTAATTTGGATTTTGGATTCATTGTACGAATACATTCATGCAGACGTTTAGTCGTCCAATAATGTTTTAAAAAGATAAACAACAAAACATGTTTCTTTATTTTCAGGCTAAACTGGAAACTAAGGCGTTGAAAGCGAAAAGACCTGGGTTTACTGATGAAAGATATCACGAAACATCATATTACATTGAGAACGGTACTATTCTTAATAATTTCATGCGAAGATCTGACAAATTTTAAATTCACATAATTTTTATTTTTAGGTTTACGCAAAGTGTATCCCTATTATTTTACATTTACAACATTTACTAAGGGACGTTGGGTTGGAGAAAAAATTTTAGATGTATTTTCTCGTGAATTTAGAGCTCATCCTGCAGAAGAGTATGAACGCTGTATTAAATCGGGCACTTTAACTGTTAACTATGAGAAAGTACCAATTGATTACAAACTAAAACACAATGATTTATTGGCAAATATAGTACATAGGTATGTATAATTGAAACAGTTCCATATTTTATCACACACCCACGAGTTGTATAAAATTTCAATATATTCTAATATTATTGTTTCAGACACGAAGTGCCAGTTACCAGCGAACCTATTACTATTGTTCATATGGACGATGACATTGTCGTTGTAAATAAACCTGCATCCATACCCGTACGTGAATGCATTAATCCGAAACATATATTTAAAAAATTATTTTAATTTTCAACACTATTATGTAATTTTGAATAGGTACATCCGTGTGGAAGGTACCGCCACAACACTGTTGTATTTATCTTAGCCAAGGAATACAATCTTAAAAATTTAAGAACCATTCACCGCCTTGATCGTTTAACGTCGGGTCTTCTTTTATTCGGTAGAAGCCCAAAAAAAGCACGCCAATTAGAACACCAAATTCGTAATAGACAAGTACAAAAGGAATATGTCTGTCGAGTAGAGGGTAACTTTCCAGAGTAAGTAAATATGTTATTTTTCATTCAATCTATTTGAGTCTGTGTTCACTAGTTTAACCGCAGCCCTTTATAAAATATGTACATATATATGCTGTTGACGTTAAACGCCCAAATGTGATATTTTATTTTTACAGAGGTGTGATTGAATGTAACGAGCCCATTGAAGTAGTTAGCTATAAAATTGGAGTCTGCAAAGTGTCACCCAAAGGAAAAGAATGCAAAACCACATTTCAAAAATTATCGTATGACGGCAAAACGAGTGTAGTTTTATGTAAACCTTTAACGGGAAGAATGCATCAGATTCGAGTCCATTTGCAGTACCTAGGTAAGTGAAAACCATATATACATTTTTCCAACACTACTGATCCGTGTGTCGATGACTCATGATTCATAACATGGCGTTACAAAATAAACATAAAAATCTTGTTGTTTATTCATTCAAAAACAAAATTATTCTAAATTTCACCGCAGCATTTTCCGGATATAAGCACTGCGGAAAATGTTAGCAAAACGGTTCATACGGTTCATACATTGCAGGTTGTTATCAGATTTAAATATTTTAAAGTCAAAATCGACGACGCTTGCAGCGACATTTTATCGTTTGGGAATTTTTCATACAATACGAACGTTCTTGAGATATTGCTTGTTCGCCCTTTGTAACTTTATCACTCGCGATAAATTGAAAACAATCGAATTCTCTCGGTGAGTATTTGTGTGAATGTGCGTATTTCAATCGTTCGAGGCAAACTGTTTATAAGCGGGATGCTTGTTTTGAATCGAAAATAAAATTTGCACACGTTCAGTGCTATTAAGCGGGGAATTCGTATATTAGGGAAATAATGTATAAATAATGCTATTAAGCGGGGAATTCGTATATTAGGGAAATAATATATATCAATAGTTGTATACGTCACATTCTACTGACCCATCTCATCTTGAGAGATTCTAATTGATTTGATATTTCTTAAGAAAATTCCTGCTGCATATCCATTTGTAATCCTGTTAAAAACAAAACACTTTACATATGTCATATTTTCCTTCACAGGGTATCCAGTTGCCAACGATCCTTTATACAATCATGAAGTATTTGGTCCACTTAAGGGTCGTGGTGGTGATATTGGTGGCAAAACTGACGAGGAATTAGTTCGTGATTTAATTAATATTCATAATGCAGAAAATTGGCTTGGAATTGATGGCGATTCTGAAATGCCTTTCTTTAAGCCACATAAAAATGACTGTGAAACTGACCATTTACCCATAGGTGGTGTGTATAATCAGATAATTAAACGCCCTTAGAAATATTAATAAAACCGTATTCTTAGGCAACCATCCATTGATTGAGGACGACAACGATGCTGTCTCTCGAGAAACATCTCCAGTATACTCGAATAGTCCCACCATTGTAGACTTGAGTCCAGAAAACGCAACTATCGGCTGTAACACAGTAGACAGTTTATCAAATAAATTAGGAGATACGTCAAAAACTGATGACACAATCGAAAATGAAGCCGATTCGTCAAATATTCATGTTAAGGTAAGAATCGCTCTGAATTTTATGATATAGGAAATAATTACTTTATCCTTTAGGTCACTGTTGCAACACAAACTGATCATGAATCACCCGATACTTCATTCAATCCCGAGAAAATGACTTTGGATAAGCATTGTTATGAATGTAAAGTACGCTACAGAGATCCTAAACCAAAGGACTTGATAATGTACTTGCACGCATGGAAATACAAGGTAAATACATTCAATTGTCGTGAGTTATAAATGAATTTGTAAACGAACGGGAAAATACTTTACGCCCATTTGTCAGTATTTCAAATACAGTCTACGCCCGCTATAACGAATACTCAGTTTAACGAATGAGCAAAATACTGGGTATAACGAATGGTGCAAAAAATTATGGGCCAGCTCCAGGGAAAAGTGGATTAACATTTTTGTTTTTAAATAAAATGGCACCATAAAAAACTTCGAGATATAACGAATTTTCCGCTATAACGAATGGGCCTGACATTCGTTATTCCGGGCGTCGACTGTACATATTACTTTTTATTATGTAAGGCCTGTACCTAAACTCATGCGTATGCGTACGATTATATTCACCTCAAAAGTTAAATACATTTTACCCAAATACGCATGCGTATCAAAATATAAAGTGGAAAATTAACAATGCATATTTTTTATTTTAACATCCTCTGTCATGGGCCATGATTCATGGCCCAAATATCAGGTCATTCAGAAGGTGAAAAGAGATGTTCTGGTGTGTTACCAAATATGCGAACCTTGACACGGTTGAATTTAATTCGTAGATGCAATTTCGCAACAATTTTCGACATAAATACAACATATCAAGTAACGACATTTGTAAGCCACATTACCCAATATGCCTCATGAGCCGCTTAACCAACAGCGAAACGCGTCGCATAATGGTGGGAATGTAGTATCTCTCTGGCTTTTCTTTTCATTGCAACTTCGATCATGTAGCTCATCTCGAAAGAGAAATAAATAAAAATATATACGTGCACAATACTACAATAAAGCTTTTTAAAGATATTTTGAGTTGTTCTGTGTTGTTTTGTTCGACCTTTTGATTCTTATATAATAAAACAATATATTTTTTCGAGCTTGAGGTCTTTTAAAATTAGAGAAATTCTATCAAATAACAATTTTCCAGCCAACGTAATCAACAGAATACTAAATAATCAGACACTACGAAGGAAACAGCCACGAACTGAGGAGGAAAGAACTTACAAATCAATGATTTATATCCCAATAATTTCAGAAAGATTTCAGAATGCAAATTTATTTGATAAAGAAAAATATAAGGTGGCCCAAAAAACAAATAATACGCTAAAAACGTTATTTTCCAACACGAAAAGCAAGATACAAAAATTGGAAAAACACAATGTTATCTATAAAATAGAATGTGATGGAAACGATGAAGAAAAATGTAAACAGGTGTATGTTGGAACCACAAAAAATAAATTAAAAACCAGATTATCGGCACACAAATCTGACATTAAATTAAGGAATCAGAATAATACACAAAAAACAGCACTTGCAGAACACTGTAAGAACAACAACCATAGACCAAACTTTGATAAAGTACAAATACTTCAAACAGAAAACAATTACAATAGGAGACTTACATTGGAAATGCTACACATAAACAACCTACCAACAACAAAGAGAATTAATTTTAAGAGCGACACAGACAACGCAGCTTACTGTTACAGACACCTTACACAGAAAGAGAGATCGTGCAATAAACTAAAATAAACTCAGTGCAATATTTACATCCGACGACGATAGTGAAGTCTATCATAGTTTTAAGTAAACTTGACATTAGTTTATTTGTAAGCGATTTTGTCACTTCATTCTGTATAATTAATGTCATAAATTTCAAAATTGTTTGTAGATTATCCTGAAGATGCAATTTAAAACAATTGCGAAATATTGATCCTGTTAAATAAAAAAGACCTCAAGCTCGAAAAAGATATTTTGAGTTTTTATCCTCTTCGGTTAGTACATCGCGATTAAAAAGTTGACAGCAAGAGAAGGCTGAGACATGAATTCGCGCACTATCCATATAGAGTAAGTTCGGGTAAAGAAGAATGCCCTTTGAATGTTTGGGTATAACTGTTTTTGTCAGATATTTTGTTAATTAGTTCAAGTAATTGGATGACTTTATTTCAAAGTTTTTATTAGAACAATATTTGAATTCAAAAAGTATATTGATTTCATTTACAGAAAATATTTTAGTAATTCATCAAGCTTAATTGCTATCCTCTGTTCTGTGTGTGAAGGACATTAATGTTTTAATTTCGCCTGTTTATATCACATTAGCCGCCCATATAACGTTCCTCCGATGGCGACGAAATTTTTCATCCGATGTAATGCTAAGTGTGCATCAAATAACCAACGTATGTCTGATTAAGATGAAATTCTGGGCAGCGCACTATGCTCCAGTATACCGAATGTCTTGTGTCAAGTTTGCTTAATATCGGTCAAGATTAATATATAACTCTCATAAATTTATACAATAGGAATTTTGGGAGCAACACTTGTATATATCTTTTCTGTTTTCCTTACTGGTTTTATTATGTCCAATTTTGGCTTAGTCACATAGTTTATATATAATTTATAAAATATTTATACATTGTTTTATAAAATATTTCTTAAAAAAAATTTGTCTTTTAATTACAGGGACCAGGATGGGAGTATGAAACTAAATTACCCGCATGGGGAGCCCCGGACTGGAAGGAGACAATCTAGACGATGATAATATTTATTAAAAATGTCATACAATAAATAAATAAATACGTATTTCAAGGCATTGTTTATATTACAATTTATATTGTATCACAATTATCAAGACCATGTAGGCATTACAATAAATTCTACAAAATCAACAAATAAAAATGTTGTATAGTTCTTTCAAAGGAGATACTAAAGGTTTGCAACATGTGTGTGACTGTGGGTACACTTGATACCAATATTCATAAAAAAATAAAAAAATTGGAAACGAAGTAAAGTTAATTGCCTTCTAATTTTGCACAAATGTTATTACTGAATCGCACTACTATTAATGGTTGGATATGCAAAACACTGATGGCATTTCATAATATTATTTTGTTTAAAAAATAAACAAAACCATTAATTAATTCAATGTTCACAAATTTCCTTGTAAATAAAAATAAATGTCTTGTTCTATAAATCAAAATACTTATGTTATTGTTGTTGTAGCAGCCCTACTGCTTTTACACAATGGGCTGAGGTTATACGTTCGCCGATTGAGACTTGGGTCATTTCTGATCGTAGACGCCTCTGTCGTGGAAACGACATAATCGTAAACGAGTCGTTTACAACTCCTCATAACGATGATCGTATATGCGCGCATTTTTCGATCGTAAATAATACTTTTACCCTACATGCATTCAAATACATGTATAAATAGAACATGAAATATTAATAATCGGCAATCGAAAACAAATCTCAAACAGCGCCTCTTATATGTTCTGAACGTCCTTCACCTCCAGTTTTTACAACACTGGTGGCCAAAACTAAAGCAACTAAAATTGCAAGGTGAATAAATGCCGCATAACTTTTTCAAAAATAAAGATATCGTGTTGGTTTTTTCAGTTTCAAATGGGGACTTGATTCACTATTAAAAAACAACAGCATTATGAATTAAATAATAATTTATGTATAGGGGTACCAGTTTTTGCTTGGACAAACTCAACAGTACAAACAGTAAAAATTGTGTTAATTTAGTTTTCCGTAGAATATTTGTTTTTTTTTTTAAATAAATTTTACGTTTATATGTTTTTTTTTTAATTAATAAATTATCTATTTATTTCTGAAAAAGATTTCATTAGTCCCAATTTATATTAGGCGAGTTTACTTGCGGCAAGTGTTTGACTGTAGGAGAGAGGGGTAAGAGGAATAGAAATGAAAAAAAAAATTGCTCGTACCGACAAATTTCGTTGATATTTTATATTTATTAAATGTGAAAAAACTATAGACATCAAATGAAAAAAAGAAATATTTTCGAAACCGAATTGCCTTGTATAGACGCATGAAGCAAGTTCAAAAGGGAACGATAATAATTGCCGCAAGTAAACTCGCCTAATATAAATCAGGACTTATTCAGTTTGCAAAGTCAGTTGCTTTAATTTTAGCCACCAGTATATATACAAGGTAAAATAGTACTTACAAATTGCATTCTGCATCTTTTTATACCTTCAACACATCGTGGTACATGGTATTATGTCTTTGTGCCTATGGGCATTTCCACAGTCACTTACACGACTTTCAGAGGCAAAATCAAACTTTAAATGTTAAATAAATCAAAACAATTATATTTTTTAAAATTCTTCCTTAATACTTTTTTGTTGAACTTTAAGAGTACTATCAGTGGTAAAAAATGAGAGCCTCCGGTCTTTAAATTCTGAGATAAAATCCACAAAAGAGGGGTCACTCACGCGACTTCAAATATACATGACTTTAGGCGTCATTGCTTTCTTTTAATATTCCTTACATGAATAAGAGATATCAAGCATTATTATTGCACTTTCAAAATTTGGCATACCCTTTATTTGCCAAGGATTTTTCTCGGTCCCTCGCGCGACTTTTTTAATTTTGCAGTTTTTATTTCGGTAGTGTCTGCATTTATAGTCATTTAATTAGAATTTATGCTAAGAAAAAGAAGAAAAAATGACAAATGTGGACTTTCTTTATATTTTTGCCGTTACTTCATGTATTTAAGCACAATTAAAGAAACAAATTCTCCGACTTTGGTTTACCTTTTGCAGGAAATGGCCATAGGCTTTTGCAAATATACATATGCATGCCCGTCGGTCTATGTTAAATTATAACAAAGTACATGTCGCATTAACGATTCGAATGAAATGAAATTTGAAACACTTATTTGGTCCAAGGACGACCCTTTGAAATTGAAAAAAATCGGTTCAGATTTAGATATAGTTCCCATATATAGGTTTGTCCGATTCCACAGATTTAGATATAGCTCTCATATATATGTTTGTCCGATTCCACTGTCTGGCCGATTGAGACAAAATTGGTCACACCGTACTGAATTAGGTACAGACTGACTTATGTGAAGTTTTGTATAAATCTGTTCAGATTTTGATATAGCTCCCATGTTTATTTTCGTCAGACTTTATGTAATTTGTTCACCAAACACAAAATATATGTTCGATGGAGACCAAATGTGGCATATCGTATTGAATTAGATCTACAATGATATGTGCTAAGTTTCGCTGAAATAGGTTCAGATTATGTTCCATGTTCGTCCGATTTCATAAAAGTGGTGCACAAAAGTCCTTTCGATTTACACGGAATTGTGCATAGCGTATTAAATTTGAATCTCGAATTATGTGGGCTAAGTTTTGTTTAAATCGATTCAGATATATTGGTCCACACAAACTTATTTCTTTATATATACAAGGCAGGGATGCAAAATGAAATTATTCAATTTGTACTGGCTTTCAATAAAAAGTGTACTTTTTTCAGTCCGATTGTACATTTTATATATTTTTTAATAAAATTTTTGTTGTTATTAACAATTAATAAAAACATACATAAACAAAATTAATTAAGATTTAAAGCAGTCGATGTATGTATTCTGTTCCTTTCTTTGGTTTTAATTATATTTTGATATGAAAATACCCTTTCCACATTTGTAGATGAATGTGGAATATATAATTACCCTCTAAGAATTTGTGATATATAAGGAAACATATCTTCGTTTCGTTAATTTTTGACTTCAGTCACCATTGACCAATAAGTGCATATATTGTCGTTTTTGAAAGACTTAAAAATTTCTACATGCATTCTGGCATCCTCAGACTGCATTTCTAATTTGATATTATTTATAATATTTGTACATATTGCAAGAACAATAATAACAGTAACCAGTAAGGAAGGTTCAAAAGTCGGACGATACCCTTCGCCACTTTGGGTACATACAAGAGATGCTAAAATATAGATATTTGTACATATTAAAAAACGTACACATACCATTCTGAAATCAATGAAAAATTGCATATCAAAAATGGCATGGCAGACTTGAATTCTTTGGTGCCTTTTGTTTTTAAACCGTTGCACACACCATTTGGTTTTTGCAACTTTAAGAGGACCCCCCATTCTCGGTTTCAAAATATTTAGTTTTGTATTTTGATTTAATTCGAACCTACACTAATTCAAGAATGTCCCTATAAATTTCCAAGTGAAAATCTCAACAATTTTTTAAGATATAGCAGATTTATTGTGTTAGCATCAAGTGACGGCAAGAGGGCTTCTCAAACGTTAAACGCGTTTTTCTCCAAACAGAGTTTTTAATACGCATGACTCAAAACTCAATTTAATACAATCTGCCAATAAATAAGTCAATAAAACTCGGCACACATCAGTCTAGACCTAATCCAGTACTCTGTGCAATTTGTTTTCTCAATCGGACAAATATTGGGATTTTGGTACACCATTCACATAAAATTAGACGAAACTATATATGGGAGCTATATCTAATTCTGAACCGATTTCAATAAAACATGGCGTGTATCAGTCTAGACGTAATTCAGTACTCCGTGCAAAATGTTGTCTCAATCGGAAAAATATTGGGAGTTTGGTGCACCATTTACATAAAATCGGACGAAACTATATATGTGAGCTATAGTTAAATCTGAACCGATTTTCCCCAATTTCAATAGGGTTCGTCCTTGGGCCAAATAAGTGACCTGTGCCAAATTTCATTCAAATCAGATAATAAATGCGACCTGTACTTTGTTCACAAAAATACATTGACGGGTGGACAGACGGACGGGCGGACGGAAATGCATAAATCGACTCAAAAAGTAATTCTATGCATATTCTCAGAAGGAACCGTGGGTCTATTTCGAATCCTTTTACCTGTTACAAACATATGCACAAAGACATAATACCCTGTATCACAGTGTGGTGAAGGGTATAAAAAGGGTTTGAAAATTCTGAAATAATAGAATTGAGCCTTAACTTTTGGGAATCAGCTTCGAAATCATTATTAAAAAAATATTGAAGTGATTGCCACTGCGCCAAAATTGTTTCAATAACTTCTTGACGTGAAAGCCACCGAGTGGGTGAGTATTTAAAAACAACAGAAATATCTGTACCAAAATATTCCTGAAACAATGAAAAATCATCTCTCTCATAGAACTGTTACAAAAATAGTAATTAATATCTTTACTGAATTTATCATTCTGATCGGAAATACTGAATTTGCATAGGACACTACGGTTAAACTATGGCAAATTCATCCATTCGTAACGACAGCGGGGGATGGCGATCCATTTCATATTGTATGTTTAAGCACTTATAATACTTTTAACTGAGAATAGTTTGATATAATTTAGAAATAGTGCTAAATATGTCATTGGGGTGCTATTGTATTTTTGACTTCCAAATAGTGCTAAAATTAGTACAATTGTGCCAACTTTTGCATCCCTGTTACAAGGTAGTCGCATGCAGCCATATGATTCCAATTTATAACTTTTCACAACATTCAGCTATGAATTGAAATGAAAATATCCGTGACAAAACTATCGAATTATTATTATTTTGAATTATCTATATTACTATTGATTTGGGAGGGAAAGGACGAACCAGGCGAACATAATGCACCATTGGGCACTGAAATTTTCCGGTAATAGTGATCTTATCGAATTTCTCGAGCGGTACGAAGAATTAGCGTAATGTCATTCCATCTCACTAGTTCATCT